AGGCAATTTTTAAGTCTGACTGTGAATTCACAATGAACATGTAGATGCTGTACTTTGACTGGGTCTCTTAAGTTTTAAGGGATCTGAAGCCTACACATGGAATTTTTTTTTGTACTAATTTCATGTTTTTTTGCCAATCTATTTTTCAGGCTCTATGTTTGATAGATAGTCCTTGAAATTGATATTAACCAGGAAACAAATAACAAAGTTTCAACTTCTGTATTCACTAACTATGACTTCTAGTAACAACTGACTTCTCTAAATGCTGGTGAGTGACTGAATTAGGGATTTGTGATTGAAAATATTACTTACCGGTGCCCTGGCCATCTTATCAAGTTGGAACAATAGTGCATGTAAGGGAAGGAGACAATGAAAGTATTAGAAAAATTCATTGTCTAGCTTTTAACTACATTCTCACTGAGCTAAATTGTACATAAAACTTTGTCTTAACTTGAATTGTATGAAAAAGGTTTTCAAAAAAAGTGAGTTTCATGCTTTTGGCCACTCAGTCAATATAACTGGACAATTTCCTTGGTTTCTTTGGCATGGGACAGAAAGCAAATTCCACAATAATACAGCCTACTCAGAAGCTCTCTGACAACCCTGTCAAATTAGATTCTTCTTCATTAAGGCTACACCATCAAGTCATCTGGTACATAGAGTATCTAAGAGAAATAATTTCTGCAGGGGATCAAGTGAATGGGTGGTGCACACTGCCTTTTTTCTGCAATCTAAGTATAATGGGACCAAGCAAGACTAAATAAGAAGAATTAATTAAAAAGCATGGGATATGAAATGGAAAGGTTGATGCATACTGCTCCTTCTCAGAATTTAAAACATAACAGAGCCATACAACTCAGAAAAAATTTGAATGAAACTACAACTGCAGTGAGTAGAGGGGGGTAAGTTTCTGAATAAACTGTGGTGCTACATTGGTGGGAGAGTATAACAGGGTAATTTAGTGTTAACTACTGAGTTGAAAACGTAAATTGGCCACCATAAAGAGTTTACAGCCTGACGTTTCGAGTGTTAGCCCTTCTTCAGAGCAATTGAAATTTAAACTCTTTATGGTGGCCAATTTACATTTTCAACTCAGTTGATAACACTAAATTACCCTGTTACAGCTGCAATGGATGAGTGTATGCAGCATTTCATACACTGTCTTTCCTCCACACCCTACCCCTCCAGTGACTTCTCAGTCAGTAAGGAGCACAATCTTTTTATCCATATGCTCCCCATAACCAACCACTAATTTCCAACAGAAATTATCACTGAAACTTCTTGTATCTAGTTTGTTCAGAAATCATACGTTTTTATAGGAACAATCACTGCTTAATGGTCACAGATGGTTCCTACCAATTTTGCCTCAGTGCTGAGTCATTTCAAAAGATATCAACACACTTATACAGTGAAGGAGACCCCACTAGCCTGTGAGCACTCTGGCTCTCAAGTTATTGGCATTGTGGCTTAGCGTTTCTTCAACCATAAGTAAGTTTAAGACTTTGAGTAAAGCAAGCTGGTGAGAGGTCTGTAATGGATCTGGCACAAACTATCATTGCTAGATCCCTTGCCAACCTCTCATTGGCTTGTGTTGTTCAAGGTTTCAAACTTCAACATGACTTCTTCCACTGGACAGAAAAGCTTTGTTGAAGCACTTTTAATTATGTTCTGCTCGCAAGCTAAGCTCTTACCAGTCTGAAAATTTAAGTTTGTTTCAATTGAATTCTTCAAAAGTTGTGCCTGATGAAAGCATACAATTAATGTAATTCCCCCTAGAGTTTTCCAGGATATGACCTGGTTATGATGGCTATGAAAAGGTTCTGGAACTGCTTATTGAAATGCTATCTACCTAATATAGCTAACTAAACTATTCTGACTTGAAAAGTTTGCTTAAAAATATTGAGACAGTTTTGACAAACAGATGGAAAAAAATTCACAACTTCCAAAATAATAAAAAGAGTCAGAAAACTCTCAATGCAGAAAGAAAACTGCCAACTTCAAATGCTAGAATGAGTAATAATGACATAACTGAAAAGAATTTAGCACAGGAAGCTGTATGTCTGAGGAAAAAGGTCAACCATGCAAACTGTGTGAAATGAAAGATGTACATGGCAGTGGACAAATTACAGTGTATGTGCACCTAACAAATAGAGGAAACACTCAAGGACAGAAATGATAAAAAAATCTTAGAACGGGATGAAAGGTATGAATTAATACAATGACTTAAATCTCTATTTGGCAAAATATTGATTATTTTGATGAACACATTTCATACAAATGAAAGAGACATTTTGAAGACCAATTTTAAATGATAAATTTGACAACATTAAATGTGGTGTAAACAAATGAAAGCAAGTGGAGAGCAAAGCAGAAAAAAGGGGGAAATAATTTTAAAATAATTTTTGTTCAATAAGTAGATAGTACAAAGACTTATTCAGTTCTAAAGTGTGAAATTAAAGGTCATTCATTTATTTTTTATCTGATTAGGCTGGGGAAGTGGGGAAACAAATTGACTTTCTCACCCAGGAAATTCTGAAAGAGGAATCAGCCAAAAAGCTTTCCATGGACCACTCACACTGACACCTTCTTACATACCAAAAACAAAGTACATCTAAATATCCATTAAAAAGATTCTACCACACATTTCAAATGGAGAATTTGGACATCAATTTTTAATTTGGAAAAAAATATTACACAGCTTCTTTAAGTTTCTAAAAGTGGATGCACATCACACTGTATTTGCGTTGGCTTTAAAACAGGCTCACGAAATTTGCAGGCCTGAAATTCTTCAGACCAACCAACTAGCAAATAATAGGACCTCAAGCTTCAAATGTTATTCAGAACTCAGAATTGAATGATAAAAAACCTTCTGAGGCTTCTATAAATTAGGAAAAAAAACTAAGAAGTTAGAATTTTTCACTGAAATTGAGCTCCTGCTCTGAATTGCAAGAGCAACTTGGTGGGCAATTAACATATCATGTCAATTGAATATCCAATTTCTTTATTAAAGGCGACAAACAGACCAAACATATTTTTAAAAAAATGTTGAAACCTGAGTATCTAAGCCAATTGATGGTAAATTTCACGAGAGGAAAAAATGCTTTATTTGTGTCTTGTTAATCCATTTGTGACTAGCAGTTTGGGTGAGTGTTTCACTAAAAAAGGAACAAATTTTCACTCTCTTAGAAAATTCATTCCCCAAATGATGCTTTACTCTGTCTGACTAACATTAAGTTGTAGTCTATGGCCAAACAATGGAAGAGAATAATGAACAGTGTAGGCACATAACCTATGGGATACCTTCCTACATGACACAGGATAAAATTAGTGATGCAGTTTAAAATGTATTTTAAGTCAAAATGAATTCAAACTATTGCTGGTTTGATTTGTACTCTCCTTTGTTCTACAGCACATTACTCCTCCACCAGAAAGAAACTTCAAGATTCTTAGAGACTGTTTTAACTCAAACCACTCCAACTACAACATGTATACATAAATATACTACTACCAAGGGAATTTTTTCAACAAAATCCTTATAAATTTGTCAAGAGTAAAGAATACGATTCTGGAGGTCTGATAGTTTGACCTAAGAGAAGACATGAGAATTATGTGTAACTGATCAAAGAGACCAAAATATGAAAAAATGATGTTGCAGTCCATCTACATGCTCAGAAGAATTCTGTCATCCAATTTACAGCAAATTCTGTCACGCTTGGTTTTCAAATTCACTCTAATGTGCAAAATGTGTGTCATTTCCATAAGTCATGAAAGTACATCTATCCACATACATCAATAAAATTGCACTTGATTATTTGATGATTATTATCAATTATTACTTGATAATTGTGTAGTCTGATAATCCAGGTGGTGGTATTCCTGAGAAGGATTCTGATGATGCCCGCTAAAGTTGTAAAAACATCAGTCACCACTGCCTACAATGGTGTGCTTCTCGAGACAACTTAGCTGGATCCTCAGACTTCACAATCTAATTTTGACCCCAGGTTCAAACCATGAACTGTAACGAGAGTTTTATTGTACTCACCCCAGCCAAATCTAGATCCATGCCTGGTGGTGATGCCACAACATCATTCTCATTTATTATTGGAATACAGTTCATGGAAATTAACTCCTCCACTGTTGACCTTAAATTATCCAGTGAGTATTTATCAGATACATCCTGCTTTGTGATCAGCACCTGCAAAGC